AAGCCTGTTACTGATTGAAAGGTTAATAGAGCAAGTACGGCTGAATCAGCACAATAATTTGGTCAACATGAATTTCCTTTAGGGGTACACGACAGTCAGGACAAATGCTTAACACGTAATGTGATGAGGATACTTGAGTACTACAGATGAAATCTTGAAATTGAAGATTTAAAATGTCTCATTTAAAATGTTAATTGCTCAAATACAATGTTTATTTATTTTAAAGACTCTGGAGTTTGTTTAGCACTGGGGAAAATCTGAGGATTTACTATCAAGCTACCTGGATATGAAACACAGGAATGTAATCAGGACTTATCATTAGCAGTGAGGAGGAAATGTAGGATGAAGCTCTGTATCTATGCCATAAACAGCTGATCACTACTGCTTTCTCCAGCACCATGGCAGATGCTTTATTGGAGCGAGGCACGAACTCTAATTCCTCGAGTAACCACACAGATTTAATCCTGACATCACAACTCAGCTGCAGCAACGATGAGTCATACAAGTACATCATCTTACCCCTGTGCTACTCTATAACCTTCTTACTCAGTGTTGTCCTAAACTCCACTGTTCTCTTGCGCTCGTACCGTGGTGGCCGCCGATGGAATACCTCACTAATTTATATGGTCAACCTGGCATCCACGGACTTAATGTACAGCTTGTCTCTGCCGCTCCTGGTGGCAAGTTATGTCATGCATGACCATTGGGTGTTTGGGGATTTTATGTGCAGGTTGGTACGCTTCCTCTTTTATTTCAACCTCTACTGTAGCATCTTTTTCCTCACCTGCATCTCTGTGCACCGCTACATGGGTATCTGCCACCCTATCAGAACCATCAAGCTGGAGAGCAAGCGTGCTGCAAAGAGCACCTGCGCTATGGTCTGGGTCGTGGTGTTCCTGCTCACCTGTCCGATATTTCGTTTCGCTCAAACTGGCGACATGCCTAGAGTAGATGGAAATGGAAAGAACACAACCATGGGAAGTGGGCTAAACCAAGTGGGCCTGGAGATGTATAAGAACTGTTTTGATGTTGCAACAGACACCGAGTTCTCAGAGTACATTCCATACGGAATTGTTCTTCACCTTCTAGGCTTCTTTGTTCCCTTTACTGTCATTGCGTGGTGTTACTCGCAGGTGGTTCGAACCATCTTTCAGACCTTGCACACCCAACCATATGTGCAGGAGGTCAGTGATAATGAAAGAGGCCCCACCAATCAGACCTCGATCTCGATCTCTGGCTCTCAGCATGCACCATATATCAGCAGGCGCCGCAAGTCCATCAAAACGATCATTACCATCACCTTCTTGTTCGCGCTGTGCTTTCTGCCATTCCATATCACCCGGACGCTGTACCTCATTCTTAAACAGAGAAACGCAGAGTGCCACACCATACACGCTATCTCTGTCTGCTACAAAGTCACTCGACCCCTGGCGTCATTCAATTCATGGCTCAATGCTCTGCTCTACTTCCTCACTGGGGACAATGGCATTTCTTGCTGTGGACTGACAGAAACCAGTCATCATACGCACCATGTCTGGCCATCAAGGGCTCTTGGAGGACTGAAAAAGGACGTGGTGGCTGAAAAGGGAGAACAGGGTGAAAAACATACAAACCATAATCAAAAGAAAGACTCCAAACCCTCAGGAATCACACAAAGGACTGTGAATATGACCAAGCCCTGTCCATGGTGGCTTTCCTATGAATTGTCTGTGTCTGAATAATACTGATCATATATTTATTTTGTTAATTTTCTATTAAAAGAGCAATAAGAATATTTCTTATTCAAATTCTCTGTGCTGAAGTAGTTGCATTTTATCACCTTATTGCTCAGTACATGGCTATTTACCAGCCTGGAACAAAATTTTTTATTTGCATCCTGCATTGAGCCATTCTAATCTTGTGACATTTTGTTATTTGTCATAATTGTGGTAATGCTGAGACTGCCTTAACTTTAAAAAAAAAAAACTGTTTATTAATTTGCTCTTCATTAATTATTTATTAAATGATTGTTTGCAACTAAAGCATTAAAATGATTGATTTTTTTACATTCATCTCCCTTAATTAATACAAGATCTACAATGGCTGCTAGCAAATGGAGTGTAATGAGACTGATTAATATATAAGAACAAGTCAATAAATGAAAAGAAAACAGGAAACAATGTTACTAATTCACAGCCCGTGACCATGCATGTATTAATAGTTAAACTCTTTCCTGTCCTGATCTTAGCACAAGATTAGAATTAAGCATAATCCATTAGTATTACTTTGACCCTTACGCGTGACCTCCCTGCATGTTAATGATAGTTTCACGGCGTAAATTATAACTGATGAATACGATCAGCAATGCCTTTTTTTTAAATTAAATGTTCATCAAATCAAACAACTGTTTTTACAGTTTTCTATATGTACACATTTTATTCATTATTTTGTTGTTTACGCCTCATATCCACAAAACACACATGGTTGCTAGACCATAAAAACACAATATTTCCCATCTGGGGTGTGCTTATGTCCAAGTGAATAATATTTTTTTACACAATTTTACAATTTTTTGTAGAATTGTACACAGGAGGTTCACAGTCACAGGCCCTTCCACCTTTTACATCTCTATTCAGAATATATGACAAGCCCATGTGGCCTGTTGCTATTAAATACACAATGTACTTCTGTTTAAAAAAAAAATACTGAATTGTATAAAAGTTCATTTACATTCCCGTTAAAGAACTAGATGTAAGGAACTCTTCTAATGTAAGGTAAGGGAAAGTGAGCAGTATAAGAGCATTAATCAGAGAAATCAGACGTGTCTATCACTGCTGTAGTTTTCTTCATGGCCAGAGCGAGGTGGTGTTGTTGAAGAAGAAGACCATCACTATTTGGTTGCGGGTAATATATATATATTTTAAAATGTGCTAAATTAATGAAAGCCAGACTCATGTCCCGACTGATTTGCATTGGCGGTTAGCTTTAAAGAGGGAATGTGCTCGCTCTTAATTGCATCAGTCTGATAAACTTGTTTTTACGCAGTTCTTAGGATTCGCGTCTCGGTATTATTCGGCTGCTTTACAAACTAGCACTTAAACTTATATAGCTGCGTGGCTAGCTCACTAGCCAGCTGTCTTTCTTGCCATCTTTTACATTTAGGAATTTCGAATTTTTTAAATAAAATATATATAACGTGATGTGAAGAGTTTACTGAAAGTTTCGCTAAGTGCCAAAACTACTTGTGACTGGTGTACGTGAGTGGCTGGTAAACCTGTCGGAGCTAGTCCTGAACTTACTTGAGCAATAACCCGACGAACTAGTTAGGGGAGTTTTGTACACCGTGTCCTGTGTTCAAACCTTACAACTTCTAACAGAATGCGACTGATAAGGGACCACCTGAAATAATCCCCGCTCCGTTATCAGGCGGCTTTAAATTGGACCGAGCACTTTTAGCGTGCGGCCTGCTGGTCAGGCTTTCGCCGCATTAAATTTTAAGCTCACGCCGCTGTGGAGCGCGCTCAGTCCGGCTGCCTGCTTCAATCATACTCCGGCCTGCCGACGAGCCATGGAGAGAATGGAAGTGGACCAGTGCGCAGGCGCAGCTGGAGGGAACGGGGGCGGGGCTCTGCGGAGGTCCAACAGCGCCCCTATGATCACTAATGTCAGGTAAGAAATTTAAACACCATACATCTGCATCTAAATAAAGTCTTTTATACAATCTCTTAAGTTATAATAACGTCTTTAGACATTGTGATGGTATATTCAAAAGCAGTGGTTCTTAAAGTGTGGTCCAGAGAGCCTGTGACTTTATTACACCTTCCCTAGACAACAATTATGCAGGAATATACACAGGATACGCCAAACTATTGCTATATAAAATGTGCAGTCTGATTGAAATGTGTTTTATACAATCTCTTAATTTATAATAATATCTTCAGATGGCATATGTTGTATAGCAAGTGTTTGGATGTGTCCTTTTGATATTTTTGCACATCTGTTGCCTAGGTCAGGGTAATAATAAAATAACAGAGCCTTTAGTGTTGATTATACCGTCTACAACTTTGGAATTTTGCATGTATATTTCATTCATTTGACAGATGTTTTTATCCAAAATGTACGGTGGCCTGTAATTGCAAAACACCTTAGTAAAAAAACAAACAAAAAAACCAACAAAACACAACATCAAACCAAAAACAGCATAACAACTGTGAAAACGCAACAGAAAAAATCACATCAACATTAACTCAAAATGGCAAGGGTAAGTCCTTATTAAAGATCACACGCTCGTTGCTGATTGCCCACAATCTGCATCAGTCTGAGCGACCACAGAAACCAGATAGATAGAGCATGTTTACAGTAAGACGAAATATCTAGAGTCTAAATAAATCTACTGAGGCCGTTCAAATGATGTTATTTTAGACATGCTGTCAACTATTTTAGATATGCTGTCACCTTTGCACTGCGTTAAAAATGACTGTGCCAAATCCTAAGTGGCAAATTAATGAACACACTCAGTACTGTTTGACTTTATAGCGTACAGTTGTGGAAGAGTAATGAGTCATGATCGCACTGGTGATCTGGTGTCACCCAGAAGAGGATGCGTTCCCTTTTGAGTCTGATTCCTCTCATGGTTTTTTTCTCATGTTGTCTCAGGGAGTTCTGGCTTGCTCATTAGGGATCTAAATCTATATCTGGATTTCTGTAAAACAGCTTTGTGACAATGTCTATTGTTAAGCACTATATAAATAAAATTTAATGGAATTGCAAACATGCTTAAAGGAAGCCGGGTTATTCAGAAGAAAGAATTATTCCTCACTATAACATAAGTAACTTCACGTGAAAGCATAGAGTTGTTGTTGTTCCTCTTTCGGCTGATCCTGTTAGGGGTTGCCACAGTGGATCATTGGTCTGCGTATTTGATTTGGCACAGTTTTTATGCCGGATGCGCTTCCTGACGCAACCCTCCCCAATTTTATCCGGGCTTGGGACCGGCACTGAGAGCGCACTGTTACACGCAACTCCAGTGGCTGTGGTCGAACCCTGGCCACAGTGGTGAGAGCGCTGTGGCCTAACCACTAGTCCTCCAGGGATTCATACACGAAAGCATAGAGTAGCCTAGACAAAAGACTGAAGAAGTGCAGTTCATTTTCCTTCCTATAGTCATACGCTGTATGAGCATGTGAGCATGTGGTGTTCAGTAAGGGTGTACCCTTTCCAAGTTAATGCTGATGTTTTTTCTGAATTTGCTGATGTATTTTTTTGTTTGTTTGTTTTGCTGTAATGTTTTTTGATTTGCTGTTGTGTTTTGGTTTGTCAATGTATTTTGCTTTCACAGACAACCATAAAAATGACTCTGTGCTTGGACTGAATCTAACTGAGGATTAGGCCAAGCACAGAGATGGAAGGGTTAAAGGGCCCATCAGTGGCTTCCTGCCAGTGCTGAGATGTGAACTCTCAGTCTTCCAGTCACTAGCTCAGAAGTTAAACCACTGAGCTATCACTGTAGTGAAATTGTTATTCAGCACCAGAGTCTTGTGCAACCTTGTGTTACATAATGAGAGTACTTATTACATGTTGTAGGCTTCTTGTGTAATCCTGTCTCAAATCTGGTCACTGTGTACATGTAGAATAGTACAGCATACAGCTACTTTTTTAATTGTATGACTTGACATAACTTGATTCTTTGGCAAACCTCTAATGACTTACGTGTCTCATAAACTTTCCCAACAGTGATGGAATGACAGTGTTCAGCTCAAACACTTCAGGCCGGTATCGTCGGAGCAGTGTGTCTGTAAACCCAAGCTGCCCCTCTAGAGTGAGTGTTTATTTATATAGTAGGCATGAAGGTGAGCTGTTGTATTGACAGTCATTGCCCAGAGAAAATCAATGCATTGCCTTTTTTTGTTCTAGACCCTGCCTTTTTCTCCATTCTCCTTGTGCAGCGAGAGACCAGATCACAGGCGGCAGGTGAGATTAAAGTCGGCCGCATAGAACAAAAGTGGTATTACTACTCAGGATTAGTTGGTCTGGTTTGATTTCCATGTTTAGGTGCATTTTTGAGAAACAGGCATAGTTTGCATATTATCTTTATTGTACTGACAGGATTGTTTTTATGCTGCAGATGGAGAATATGGAACTCACTCTCAGAGGGAGTTTACAGAGACTAAGGTAACCATATATTTCACTACATAATGTAGAATGAAACATAATATAACATCACAGCACAAAAAACAGTGTTTTATGTATGATTTTCTTTCTTTCACTTATAGTGCCTCAGCTACAGTCCCCTCACCTCCTGGAACTCACTGGCATGGGCATCTATCACCAGTGAGTATGATGGACCGCTTTGATTTAATCACCTTTTGATAATCTTTAAATAACTTTTCTCCCTCACTCTCATTCTGTCATAGGATTTCCATTCCCAAGACTCTGGAGTCACTCCTAATTCTTCCCCCAGTCCAACAAGAAGGTTCAGGGGGTAGGTTTCATTGTACTACAAGCAGAAATCACCAATTAACAGTGTACTTGCATCATTTTGGAATTTTGGGGTTATTACAAGTTTATTACAAGTTGATTACAAGTTTACATTTTAAAAAATGTTCACTTCTTAGCTAACCGTGCCATTACTAGTTAGAAAACTCTTCTTTTGTCTGAATTTCTTTATAGGAATTGTTGACTTGTGCCATTACATATGCCTCATTTAAAGGGGATTCACCTTTTTCACATTCGAGCAGTTCTGAATATTTATTTGCTGATTTCTAGTCACCTCAGACAGTTTTTATGTCAGTACATGCAGTTTGAAGATTTTTTGTTTTTTCACCATTAATGATTGTTTTGCAAAACAAATTGTTTGCAAAAGAAGTGAATTTATGACTCTAAGTAGGCTAAATGAGTTGTCGACATCAATTTCCTCAAAACATAATTTTTAAAGATTCTTCCTTTATTCTTCCTTTTTAGCTTCCTCCCAGTCATACTCTTCTGCAGACATATTTGTGTGAATATTGGTCTTTTAGCAACTTAGCATGTAGCAAGACAAGCAGGAACACGTCAGAGAAATGCCCCCAACACAGAGTATGAATACATTCATATGACTGAAGCATGCAAAGGCTGGGAGTGGGGATGTGTGTGTGTGTTTGGGGGGGACTTTATTTTAATTATCAATTATTAATATATTATTTCCACAACTTGATTGAATTAAATATGAAAAATTCCTTTTCCTGCTATAATTTTCTACTAAAGGCCACATGAATAATGAATGAATAATAATCTGCAGTTTTGCATCTTAGCTTGTAAAATCTAGCTTTCTTTAAAAAAAAAAAAAAAAAAACAGGAAAAATGGTAGAATATCATTTAATAAGTTCTAGCTATCGTAGTGACCAGTTATATCCACTATGATATATGTGCCTCTGTTGCCACAAAGACAACACAGTTTCAGGTCTGAGGAGAAGTAGAGGAGTCTTTGAGTTGCTGTCTCATAATTACTGTAATTCTGACATAATATGAATGCAATATGCAGAGGTGCCAACATCTACAGTTTAGCTGTAGTATTTAAGATTTTTTGTCCCCTACAGCAAAACAGGAGACACCTGGAAACTACAGTTTTTTGCTTTTAATGTTATAGCTCACAGGTTCCCAACCCTATTCCTGGAGTACCCCCTGTCTGGACATTTTTTTTTCTCCTTGCTCTAACACTGTTAAGAGCTGTTAATTAGCTCATTAGTTGGATTAGGTGTGTTTGAGTATGCAAAACTCTAAAATGTGCAAGACAGGGGATACTCCAGGGTGAATAGGTAAAGCACATAGCTCAGACCAAACGCAAATAAAAACTGGGCTGGCAGAAAAGGGAATTCACTTAAGGGGAAAGGCCATGAATGGGAAAGATGTGCGTTTGATTCTGCTTACTTTACCTATATGAACTTTGACTTGTGAGTCTCAGTTTTGTGAGCCAGTAGAATAAATGAAAGAGTGACTGTGGTCTCTTTTGTTGGATAAAAAAAAATTATTATGAAGTATCAGTCAATTAACATCAATTTGCTGTTTTCTTACTGTTGCTTTCTGCACATAAGAAAAAAAAAAATCATCAACCATCTCTTTCACTGACATGCTAGTGTTTCCATGGTAACATTCTGTTTGAGCTTTCTGCTTGCTGGGATTTTCTTGTAGCAACATTGGCACCTTTGCAATATGATCATATTTAACTACAGCTACATGTAGTAGAGGTTTGATCCTCCATATTCAATGCATCATCATGCAATTAGTATAAGACTTGAGAAACATTGTAATAGCATATTGCTGATTTCTGACAGGGGGTCTGTGAGTTCATCTGTGAGATGGCCAGTGGTTGCACCTTTAAAAAGAAAAGGTAAGAACTGAGTTAAAATTGTGTTAAGGATCTACACTAAATTTTTGTCCCAGGTGTAAAATATTCATTGTGATTATATACAAATGGCTGCAAAAAAATGAAAAGTCTTAATGTCCCATTTAACATTGCACTACATTCTTGTTGTTTGACCTGCCTGATCAGGTGGAGTGGAATCCGACGGTCCGCCTAAAAAGCTCTTTGTTGCTGGAGTTACAGATCCTGCCCACATAACTAGTTGCACTGTCAGGTGAGGCCTTAAAAAAGGGAAACTGTTGTGCTATTGGTCAGCTTTGGAAATTATATCATGTTTCATTTCCTCTCTTCTCTGTCCACAGTGTTAATTTTGTTTTTTCTTCTCTGTGCAGTGTTTCCCAGTCAGTGGACTCTCCTTCAAGCGCTGTACCCGTATGTCCAAGCCCTCAGAACATTGCGCTTTCACTTTCTCCTCCCTCGCCGTTTACATCCCAACACCCCAACATCTAAACCACATCAGTTAAACTGGCAGAGTAAGGACAACGTTTCTGTCTTTATACTCGCCACTTCCTGAACTCTGTTCAGAACCATGTCCTGAGATCAGCTCTCCATCTCACTACTTGGTGCTTTAAGGAATGTATTCGGTTCCACGTTATTTGCAGAAAAACCTTTCTGAGGGAACTTTTGAGGAAGGTTTTATGTTGTATGACTGAAGATGGAAAATGTGTCGATGCCAGGAATGGTGCAGTGCTGCCCAGTATCATCTGACTTGTTAATAGTTCATTTGCACCAAGGGCAAGGGTTTCCTTGCATTTGTGAAATAGTGTCAGGATTTACACTCAGTTATCATGTTCATGATAATGTTTTAGTGATCGCAAACTAATCATCATTTACACATAAGGATTGCCTGTGAGCATACAAATATGCCTTCCCTGGATTTAGTTTTCAGCAGGCTCAGAACATACTTTTCTAATCTCATCCACAACCATTGACGTCTTCCAAAAAGTATTTTTTAAAAAATTTAATTAAGAAACTTTCCTTACATCAGTAGACTGTTCAGGCCACAAGTGTGTTCATATATGCTCTGTGTATGTGTTTGTTTTAAAGGGTCATTTTATGCATTTTATTATAATTTTTCATAAAAAAAAAGAAAAAAAAACTTCCAACAACCCTTGGAATAACAGAATGCCAGCCTGCTCTAAAGCTTGTCCTTCACATTGTTTTATCTTTAATATGGAAGAAGAATAATGGAAGCAATTTTCTGAAATATTCCCTTTTATAAAACATGCCCAGAAAATTTTGCATCATATAAGAGGCACAAGCTTTTACTAGCATTTGCTAGCAAAAATGTTGCCATATTTATTTTCAGGCTGCATTTACGTTGTAGTTGAGAAACGAACACAAATGAAGCTACATAAGCCAATTGACTGTAAAATTGTATTACATGTCAATAAGAAGACATGGTTAAATTTGTTAGATATATTTTTTCCTTTGCACAGTGTTAGATATTATTAATGTAAGTCTAAATTACATTACATAAGTGGGATCATATTTCCATGTTTTTTGTAGGGTTATTGAAAAAAATAAACAGCCTCACAGATGTACAGTATTGCTGATTACATACTTTTTTTTTGCTGACAAATGAATTAATGCTTCCAGAGCAGTCTTTGAGCAGGAGGAGGACTGTTGTGGATCATGTGCCTCATACACTGACTAGAAAACATCAACTTTTGACTATGTTACATTTCAGACTAG